AAGCGACTAAGCGACTGAGCGACATGTTAATAATAATACAAGATAATAATAATATTCTAAGATAATAATTAATAAATGATAAATAATAAAATAATAAACTAATAATTAATTCGTTCTATAACAGTACTATAACAATATACTATATATATATTTTTTTACTTTTTTTGTTTTTGTTTTTTTTTTTTTCTTTTATTAAGTTTTTTTGTTTTTTTCTATATTATAAAAGTGAATTATAATTAGCTTTTCTTCCAAGATCTAAATAAAAAAAGTTAAAAAAAGAGGTGATTATAATAAGCTATTAGATCCTGGTTGGTAAATTATAAATTTGAAATTTGAGATAGATTAAAAGGAAACAAAAAAGCTATTTTTACTTCGACAGATTATATATAGATATCTAAATAGCAACTAGATGAACTATATTTTAGTTTAAAAACAGTATTGCTATATATAGATATTATAGTTATTTTTTTTTTAGTATTAAGATGAGGTCTTGCTTATATCTTTATTGAGTAATTTATATAAGTAATTACATAAAGACTATATAAAAACTAAATTTATATAATAACAAGTATTTATAAATTATATACAAGAATAGAAACTTAAATTAAAAGTATAAGCTAATTATTTGTGACCTAAAGTAGTCAAGACTCATCTAAATATAGGTATTATAGTTGTAAAACTTATACATTCTATAATTGTAATAAAGTTATAACATAACCAATTGAAAAAAAATTTAAAAAAATAAAAAAACACTATAATTTAATCTAAACAAAATTCTAATTCAAGTAAACCAAAATAATTTAATTTAAACTAAATTTTAGTTTAAGTAATTAAATTAAACCAAATTTTAGTTTAAATAAAACTAGAGTTGAACCAAATTTTGTTTTAATAAACCCAAAGTACAAAAATTTGCATTATTAATTTTCTGGCAGCTTAAAAATTACAACAGAGATTCTTGATGAATATAGGATACAGATGGCCTGAAGGGCCATCTGTATTATATGTTCATCAAAATCTCTGTTGTAATTTTTAACTCCTCACAGAAAATTCATAAATAATACCCTGCCTTATGTTGTTTATGCCTAGCTTTATTATGATTTTTTGTGTGATTATTTGTGACCAGGAATTTTCCTATGGAAGATTCCCAGTCATGATATAATCTTGTAAGAAATTATAATGAAGGTAGATATGAACAACAAATAGTAAGGCAGGGTATTATAATGTAAATTACTTTAAATCAATTGAATCAATATTTAGTTTAAGCTAAACTGTTTTGGGTTTATTTAAACCAAAATATGATTTAAATAAAACCACTCCAGATTTATTTGAACCAATATTTGATTTACATTGAACTATTTGGGTTTACTTGAACCAAAATTTGATTTAAGTTGAACCAGAATTTAGTTCAAATTGAGCCACTTCGGATTCACTCGAACCAGAATTTGATTCAAGTTGAACCAGAATTTAGTTCAAATTGAACTATTTCGAGTTAGAATTTAATTCAAATTGAGCCACTCCGGGTTCACTTGAACCAGAATTTGATTCAAGTTGAGCCACTTCGAGTTCACTCAAACAGAATTTAGTTCAAGTTAAAGATGCTGTGATATGATCAAATTGTCGGATCACACGACTTGTTTTTGATGCCTCGGAGTCCGATTTAAGTGAGTTTACTAATTTTCTCCACCAATTCATTATCGGAGTACTATAAATTTGATTAATAGCACAGATACTCAAAAGTAGCGGGGGAAATTAGTAAACTCGATTCAAGCCACACTGGTTACGTGATCACGTGACAGTTTAAAAATAGAATTTCCCATATTTATATATGTAAAAATAAAAAATTTTCAAAAAAAAGCAAAAATAATAAAAAATTAATAATTAACTATATACAAACTATCTCGATTTTGGTACTACGTACTATAATAAATAAGAAAATTTTATATACACAAAATAAATTTAATCAAAAAATTATTTAATTAATCAATTTGATCAAAATTATCGTTATTAAGATTATAATTGGATAAGGTACGTAGTAATTTGCCAATATTTCGTCAATCAAAGCTATATACTTTATGGAATTAATTAAAAATGACGAAAATGTAATTTATTTTTAAATCAAAATCTTTTAAAGGTTTGTATTACTTGTACAAATATATATAATCTTGTTTACATACGACACTTACGACGAGGCTTGGATTATACATAAGCCTTATGCGTACGCATCTAACCTTAACTAGTGCATTACGTAGTATAATTTGAAACAAAACACCCTTTGTCGTTATTGACAAGTATTACAATTACGTGTCACACCATCTGTTATCTAAAATTTTCGCGAGCACGACATCATCTAATGTAAGGCGTCACTAAATGGAGAAAATTTTTTTTACCTTACATAGATAGAAATCATAATGATTTTAAGCTAAGACGTGGGAAATTTGATAGAAAATGTCAATATTACGAGATGTAGTTTCAGATTCCTTGTTTCTTATTGTGTGTACCACGTCTTGCCAGATGTTACATGTATTAAATTTAATATCCGTCATTCTGACGACAACTGATAAAAATTCCTATAAAAGCTTCTGCGAATTGCTCAAAATTGCTCAAAGCTCTTAAAACTTTCACCTCACGAATATTCTTCACTAAAAACTTCAAAAACTTCAATCAATCATGGGTGAGTAATTGTTGTTTTTTTTCAATTATTATCCTGCTACTTATTAATTCTTGCCTTTTTCTTTTTAGGACTTTTTGACGTATTCGGTGGACATCATGACGATGTATATAATGACAAGAAACATAAGGGACATCTTACTCATGAAATAATTGCTGGTGCTGCCGCTTTTGAAGCGATGAAGCACTACGAAAAAAAGAAGGAAGAACAAACCGGACAAAAAGATAAACATGCTTTTCTTAAAGAGGTTCATATCATTTCATGATTTATTGAATTTATTTGCATCTTTTAGTATATTAATATCCTTTTTAATTCTATGATTGTAGGCATTCGTAGCATTTGCTGCTGGTGAAGCAGAAAAACTCATTGAGACAAAAGGTCTTGATGCTCTTGATAAAGCAAAAGCAAAACGACACGCGGAAGAACAAGCTTCGCAGTTATATGATGGTAAATTATTTATATCGTAGTTTATTTATACTTAATTCAAACTAACTCTTTTTTTTTCTCCTAGAAAAATATAGTGGATGTTAATTTCGTTAAAATTGTATATTTGAAACACTGTAAATCCTTGTTTTTTTTTCATTGATATTTTATCATGTAACATTTGAGTTCGGTTCTGTTGATCTTTTGCAAATAAATTAAATTGCTTTTATTGAACAACGTTCAAAGATAATGCAGATCTATAGTATTTAAATTTGGTTAAATAAGTTGAAACTAAAAAAAAATGGTTAGTTATATCGAAAGACAGCAATATTAACTCGCTGTACCAAGTTTTATTTAACGAAACCTTGATACAATGAAATTTTTCACTAATGTGCGTAGCGTACCCAAATCCATGCAATGTTTGTTATCAACGCCAGATCAAAATTCCCAAAATTAGGGTTCTCGGCACGATAAAAAAATGTGGCATGCCAAATTCTAAATTTCGTGCCAAATACATGCCATGGCATGCCATAATCATATGATTTATTTGTTTAATTGGTTAAAAAAAATATTTTTTCCAAGTTCAAAAATATAAGCTACATATATATATTATTATAATTAATGTCATGCCATAAGTGGCACGCCAAGGACCCTCATGCCGAGAACCCTACTCAAAATACATATTTACAATGTTTGTTATCAACGCCAAATCAGTCCAAAATACATATTTGTATCGGACATCTGATAACCTAGTAAATAAGCTCGAAAAGAGTTTTTAATAATCAATGGGCGGATTTGACTTATCAGATGTGATAATCTAATAACCGATCTACTAGAGTGTCTAGGATCATGCTCTCGCATAATTTGCATAATTTTCATAATTTTCATAATTTGCATAATTTCATAATTTACATAATTTGCATAATTTGCATAATTTGCATAATTTTACAATTTGTCGCATGCATAATTTGGCAATGATCCTAGACACTCTGCGATCTAAGATTTCTTATTACTAAATAAGGAAATTTGGCAATAAAAACATTGATATACCTCTGTATTCAATCTCTTGTCATTACAATAATTCTTAAATTTAGTAGAAATAGAACTTTTGATTAATCTAATAAGAGCGTTTTTTTGTTAAAATTATGTTTGGAAAAATTTGGTTTATTTGTTTTTATATTAATGGTTGATTCGATAAATTTACACTGTCGATAACGCTAAATTTTATTTACTGTTTAATATTCGCGCTTATACTAAACATATACTGTAAAAGTCTTGATATTTATAATCCATATATCAGAATGTTTAAAGCCAGTATATAGTGAAATATAATAAATTAAAAATCATTTGATAATATAAATACTACCGCTACCTGGCTTTAGACGATTCTCTACGTAGTAATTAAATGTGTTAATAGAATATATTTAAAAAAAACTTATATATTTATTTTATATTTTTATATATATATAAAATTAATTATACTCTATACAGTATATACGTAGTATTATTATCAACAAATTTTTAAAATTATATTTTGATTTACAAGCTTGCAGTTAAGTATATAGATGTGTTTTTCGCTGCATCTCAGACATACTGTATACAAAAGTTAATCAACAATTTTAAATTATTTAAAGCAAGTTGTTAGAATAATTTTTTGAAGAACCTTATGAGTAGAGACATAGTGACAGACTTCGACTGTGTGTTCGCGAATTATGAATTTTGATTGGTTAATTGAATATTCAATTTTTGTAGATTTATCCGTGATTTCTCGTGATAATTAACCAATCAAAATACATATTTTTTTTGATATTGTTTTTTTGCTAAAATTTGGAGTTAGGATGCAGTTTGAGGTTTACTGGGTGTTCGAAAAGTTCCTATTCATGGTCCCTTTTTTTTTCACTATTGCGATCTCTATGTGCAGTACGAGTGCTGCCAAACAAGTCATGATTTTGAATATTCGCTTTTAATAAAAATATCTCAAAATCAGACAATTGAACACTTAAGATTTCAATCTCATTTGAATCATCTTAATGAGACGATTCAAATAATATTAAAGTTAATTGCCTGATTTTGAGATATTTTTATTAAAAGTGAATATTCAAAAATCATGACTTGTTTGGCAGCTCTCATGTAGAGATCACGGTGATTCTTTATACGATAGTTTAAAAAAGGGACCATGAATAGGAACTTTTCGAACACCCGGTATAGGAGGGTTATATTTAATAGTTTAAATTTTAGATTGCACAAGGTTTTGGGGTTCTGACCATTTTTACTTAGTAAGTAAAAATGGTTAATGAAAATCTAATTTAATGAATAAAGAAGTCTAATTCGAGAATATTTGCATAACATGACGAAGTATCCCTAATTACTTACGTTTTCAAGAAAAAGGAACCTATGGCGTTGAACACCTATGATGCAGAATAGTAAAACCAAAACTTAAAAGTATAAAAAAAAACATAATGTGTAAAACACTATAGGTGTGTTCTATAATAATTGATAAAGAAATTATAAAAGAAGTTTACAAATTAATAGAGAATAGATAAATATGTATATACGTAGAAAGTGAAGCAAATGCAATTATTATTATTATTATTAAATACAAACTTATTAGCATTAGAATTTACAAAGAATTATTTAGCAGATTGCTATATAACTGATTAATAATTAAAAATAAAATTATTATCAATTAAAAATAAAAATTATAGGGTTAGTATTAAAGTTAAGATTAAAAAGTGTATTTATATATAATAGATTTTAAAAACTTTTTTTAAAAGCTTAGTATTAGTTTATATAGTAAAATTTTGAAATTTTGAAATTTTTTTCATGTGTTTAATAATCTGGAATATTTTAAAAAACACAGACTCAAATAATTAAAAAGGCATTTAAGCAATATAGCACAGTAGAGATCTTTGAGTAGCAAACACAGGAAGGCTTAAAGCTGCTTTATTAAAATAGAAGCCAAAAACTGAGAAAAGTTTAATTATCTTAAAGAGCTATAAGCTATTTTTCTTGATTAAGGCAAATTATATAGAATTATATTACAAAGATTCAACAAGGATAAACTAGACCAACACAACAAATACAAGGCCACAATTTGTAAACTACCCAAAACAGCTACAAAAGCAGCCTTTCTAAAATAGTTTAAAACATTTGAAGTTAAATCAGTATATATAACTTCAAACAGAAATAGTTATTAAAAAAGCATTGTTTATTTATATTTTAACTTTATCAAAAATTATACAAAAGCACAAAAAGCCACATTATATTATTATGATAAAAAGCTAGTCTGGAAATTAACAAATAGAGATAAGTCAGTAGAAATGCACTATATTATTTTTAATAAAATTTTTTTGAATTTTTAAACAAAAATAACTTAGCAAAAACTTAACCAAATTTAATAAAAATTTTTTTAATAAATTCTATAAGTTTTTAGAATTGGTTTTAAAAAAACTTTATAAAATTTAATTAAATTGTTGTTGAGTTATTCTTATTTAAAGTTTTAAAAAAATTTACTTAGAAAAAATATGATACGTTTCTATTGACTCACCCCCAAATAATCAAAATTATATTACAAACTCTGAGAATAAATTACTATTTATGGCTGTAGTATATAAAGCTTTAATAGGCAATTCACTAGTCACCTGAACAAAAAACTTTATTTATATATAAATTTTACTATAAGTGTGAATGCATAGCGTCTCTATCTAAAACTTTTTTTTATACTAAGTAAATCACTCTTTGGCTTCTAACAAAAGTTGTAAAGTTTATCAAAATGTATTTAATACTAAA